CACGTGGTTCAAACTTTGTTGACCAAAAGCAACCTAGTTCCTGGCCTCTACAGCCGTATTACACCGGCAGTTGGATACTCTAGAAGTAGCATAAATACCAATTAATGATTCAGTTATATATATATACGCATCAACTGTTTGTCAATTCCCGATCAACTCATCGCGTCGTGTTTTGTTTACCTTGAATTGATAATCTTATCTTCTAGTGTAATCTTGAGCGTTCACCAAGAATAATAATATTCTGTTAGAGGACAAGAGATCAAAGTGTGGAGCAGTCGGGGACAACGGCCAAGTAGAGAAGGCCTGGCAAAGCGCGGCAATCCCATCACACGCCAGAAGGACTTGTGGTTTGGCAAGGGACTGTAGGCGTAGGCGGAGCCAAGAAGCCACCAAGATACCAGCTAACAGACCAATAAGTTCACTCCGGTACGCACTCTGATCCTCTTGTTTACCAGGTGTCATTTGATCCAGATGACGTGTCCTCCACGTCTAGTCCCTAGCTGGACTGCTGCTGTGACCACTTGTTGCTTGAAGGAGCCGTCGCTGATCACCCGTAGCTTTCCCTTCTCCAGTGCCTCCAGTAGGACTTGTTTGTCACCCTCAATGTATATATATAACTGATGCATTAATCGTATTAACGGTACGTCCGCCACTCCTCAGACCCTATTATGGCGGAAGACCCAGGTTCTAAAATCACCCACCGACTTAAAAAAAAATTTCTCCATACAAAAGTCTTAGCTTAGGTCCTTATCTCACATCCTATTGGGTGGGGCCATCATGATTATGCTCTAGACATTAACTGCAGTCAAGAAGGCAATTGATGCTTTGGACAGCAATTCAGATCATTGGTTGTTTTGGTGACTTATGGGTACAGTGTGACCTGAAATCACTCACGGGCAATCTGAGTTCCGATGAGTAGCTGGATTGTAGCATTCTTTGATGAATTTCAGGCACATTTTGTAAGTTGCAAATTTTCAATTTCAGTCCACAACAGTCCTAGTGGCAACTTTTAGAGCTACAGTGACTTCCCTGAGCATAATGATGACATCCCCACCCAATAGGATGCAAGATAAGGACCTAAGCTAAGACTTTTGTATGGAGAAATTTTTTATTTTAGGTCTGTGGGTGATTTTAGAACCTGGGTCTCCCGCCAAAATAGTATGAAATGGGCTTCTTCAGCGGCGGACGGACCGTTAAAACTATCTCAAGTTTCTAGATTGCCGTTAACGGCTGTCATGGCCATTTACCATATGGAGGTGAGTTCAGTTCTGTTGAACCAGTTTGAGGCATCCAATCCCAAGGAAGTTGCTCGTAACGGATATTACATTGCACCCTTGCACACGTAGAAACGATCTTGCCACTCGAGGCGGCGTATTTTTATTTTGTTTTTTGAGTTTTTGAAGATGATGGTGGGCATGATTGTGTAGCAGGTGGGAAAGCCACTTGTTCTTGCGCCCTACTGCCATGGGTGTATCGATCCAAGTGAATGGAGAGCGTCCCAATGGCACAGTGTTCCAGAACAATGTGGCGACCATCTACATAACAGACTGTGGTTCCCTAGTCCTGTGGTCAACAGAGGGAGAGTGAAACATAGAGGGGCAGAGAGATGGCCGAGACATCTGACTGTTTATGGACTTGCGCCGGTTGGCCGAGTCGATGTTGGGTTGGCGGGGTGCGCCAGGTTGAAGATCATCTGGCGTTGCCTGGCTAGAGAGCGACGGTTGATCGCTCTCTCAGGAGACAAGGCGCAGCCAATGTTGACGATCTTCAAGTGATTTGTTGAGGACAGTTTCGCGGGAGTCACGAAAGAGGTACTGCGAGCGTGGGGGGATATCAATCAGGCCCATGGCGAACTGTTCGCGGATGCCGATGTCAATCTCCCGCTTGCGAGCCGTGTACCAGGAACTGTCTTCGGAATGTGCAAGCCGGTTGCGGTCTTTCCACATGTAGTGCCCGATCCGGATCAGTTGTTGGATCAGGCGGGAAGCCCAAAGGTTGGCGGACTTCTTGGAGCCGATGTAGGAGAAGTGAAGGGCCTGCAGATGTCTCAATTTGGGGGACACTAGGCCCTCAAGGAGGCCCTGGGCCCCAAGCTTGGCTTGGGAGGAGATTGCACGTTGGAAGAGATGAGGCTGGCGAGACCAGGCTAGGACGTTGGGAACTCCCAGGGAAGGCTGGCGGACCGTCTTCAGGTACTCAAAGAGGAAAGCTTCGATCTCTGGGGCGGTCTGCTGAGTCTGCATCCAGGTCCGGAAGGCCAGATGGCGTTTCGGCCATTCTACAGCTGCAGGAGTAGGAGCAGAACAGCGTGGGACATGGAGGTGGTCCTCCACCGGGCAGGAGGAGCATCTGGGGCAAGAGCTAGTTGCCGAACGGTTCCAAATGGCCAAGAATTTTCCCACCCCTGTCATACCGGAGATATGCTTGGGTGTCCAGCGTTGAAGATTGGCCGGGAGGGCTTTCATGGCGCGTGCCAGAGACAACCAATCGACCTCACGGATGGACTGCTGGGAGAGGCGGTCCTTGGAGGCCCAATATGCTTGAAGGGCAGGAAGAGAGACCAGCTCCATGATGGGAGCCTGATCCAGTTTGGGAGACTTAACACCATCAATGAATAAAGACACAGGTTCATGGAAGAAGCGGGGGTTGGAGGCAGCAGAATGGCCTGTAGACTCCAACAGGCGGCGGTAGGCTTGTGCTTTGGAGTCGACTTCCACATTGCGCTGCTCCCACCAGTCCAGTTGAGAGAAAGGACGCTTCTTATCTAGGTGACCCTTGACATGACGCCGACGAACTTGGAGAGGAAGGCGGCAAAGCAAGGCCCGGATGGTGGAGGCCAAGTCAAACTGCGCGCCAGACAAGGACAGATGTGCTTCTGAGAAGGACTTATCCAGGGCGATGAGGCCGTCGCAGGCCATCTCGACCAAAGGTTGGCTGGCAAAGAGCTTCAGTTGGGCAAGCTGGGCCATCCATTCCAGCACCAGGAGAGAAGCCATAAGGCCAATCAATTCGCTTCGCGTTGAACTCTGATCCTCAAATTTTCCAGGGGTTTTGCAGGTGATCCAGATGATATTCCTGCAATCCTCAGTGAGAATTTGAGCGCATGCTGCGCCCACTTTAGCTTTGTAAGAGCCATCGCACACCACACAAAGGTTACCGGCAAGAAGGGCCTGAACCAGGCGATTCTCACTACCTTCAATGGTAATGACCTCTGGAACCCAGCCGTGAGAACCTGACTCAGCCAGACTGCCAAATTGGTGCCAAAGATCAAGGATGGAAGATGGGGGGCAGGTGTTTTGGCAGGTTGGTGAGGTGTTTCGGCTGGTTGGTGTGGGCCAGTAGAGTGGAGGAGGACCCGGCTCTTGTGGCTCGGAGACCGGCTAGAGAAGACAGAGACCGAGGCGCGGACAGTGTTCACTGGTAGAGGTGGGAGATCAAGGTTGAAGCGGCGAGGCAAATAGAAGGTGCGCTGGCGGCTGGTGGAGGAAGTAGGCTCAGATGGGATCCATATCTGACCCCTCGCGGTGGAACAGGGTATTGGTAGAGGGGGAGTATTGCCACTTCCAGGACAAGTCAGCTGAGTGCCACAGGCCTGACGGGGAGCTGAGGCGGCGTCGGTTGGAGTGGCCTGTCAGGTGAGTAGAAATCCATTGCTGCCACATAGTCCACCACTGATTAGACGGACGAGCAGTACGGGGCCATTGGTACCTGTCAGCAAGGTAATCTGCTCGTATCCCTTTCCATGCGTCCAGAGTGATCGCTGTCCCTTCAGCATTCACAATATCGGAGAGAGTGACAGCGTGAAGGAAGATCCGACACCAGTTGAGCCATTTCAATGTATGCTGATCCACCAAAGAGTCAATGAACAAGTCCACTAACAGTTGATCCCCTTGGCGCATTGGTTGGAGGGAGGGAGAATCAAACTCCAGATGTATGGAGAGAGAATCAAGTTCACTCCAGGTCCGCTTGGCCCACGTATCAGAGGCCAGGATGGAGTTGTTGGAATAGACTTGTTGGAAGAGGCCATAGGAGGTACCGGTCTCAAGCTGATATGCCTGAAGGGCTGCCTCCAAGAAGGCGCCCGTTTTGGTCTGGTTAGCCTTATGGCGAAGTAGCATGTCCAAGTGCTTGATGACTTGGAGGCCGTATGGATGGGGGACACCCACTCCCTGGAGTGCAATGGGGGCGTAGACCATAGCACGAGGAAAGTTACGGCAGATACCAGCCTTGGGCAGTGACGCCCAGAGCACTGGGGATAGTATCTGGTCCCACTCCTGTGGAGAGAAGAAGGTGAGCGCCATTGGGTACTCCAAAGTCTTCTGGATTGTGGTGCAAAGGAGAGGAAGGACATCATATCGTTGGAGGAAACTAGGTTGGATCTGGTCCGCCCATGCTTTTGCCTTCCCTTGCATAACCACAAGTTGAGCTTTACTGTTGGAGCAGGGGGGCATCAGAATACCCAACGTCTTGGCCGATTCATCCGCTTTGAGCCACTTTAGATGCACAGAGGTGCCATCCAGATCATCCAATTCAACCATAATTTCCGACATGCCTGTTGGAAGAAGAGATGGTTTAAAATCTCGCTTCTTCCGGAATTGCCATACACCTTGTTGCAAGTTCCACTTGAAGTCAATCAGATACCAAAAGGATTTATCTGGTTGGATGGCGCCACCCGTCAGGCGGACGCCGTTGGACCACCATTGCAGTGCTTTGGCCACCTCTGGGACAATAGATTCCCCGGACTGGTCAGGAGATGGTGCAGCTTGGCAGACATCAGTGTCATTGACAAAACAAAAGCAATCGGCCAAGAGCGGAGCCCAAGATATTGACATCAGAAAGTCAAAGCCAAAGCCTTTGCTAATCATCATCCCCAAAAGAATGGAGCTAATTGCCACCCAGACAGGAGGTCCTGCTCCATTGCCTTGTCCACATCCTTGGAATGGGATCAGGGTCGGAGGAGTAAAGACACGGTCGGAATCACCAAACCCCGTACGCACCCGGTGTTTAGACTTCATCAGGGTGTCAAACATGGAGCGAAGGGTACGCCATTGAATCCCAAAGCGCATCAGGCTAATGATTGCCACCCAGTGGACAATGCGGTCAAAGGAGGACTTGGCATCATTGGATATCCACCCGGCAGGACGGCGTTGCAGATGTAGAAGGTCCCAAGTGAGCCGCTTAGTAAGGGCCAGATCGATGGCCTGGTGACGCTTGGGAGAACCGTGTTGCCCTGATGGGATCAGTTTGTGCTTCTCGGCATAGGCCATGGCTTGGAGTTCAGAGTTCATCATTTGGATCGTGCGCATCAGGTCCACCCGAATCTCGCCTGGTTTCTTTTCAATTGCAAAGTTGAGCAAATGGCACCATTGGGCTGGGACAAATCCGGTTGCAAAAGGGATAGAGCGAAAGATCATGTCGCAGCAAGCAAGCAGGTTTGATGATGCGCCCGCTTTATAATGTCCATTATGCAGACCGTGTGGTTCCGAGCCTTTATGTTCCCCCATCTTACGCCAGAAGGTAACATGATCCTCCAGATCCACCTCCAGTGGTTGGTCTTCCAAGCCCTCCGGCCGTCGACAATGGTCAATGAATGACGCCAAGTAAGGGTCCGATGTCTCAACTTCATAGAGGCCCCGGAGCAATGCTTTGCTGTTCTGTTCTGCGTTAGGGCAATTTAAGTTGGAGTACAAAGGTTCAGTCATTGGTGGGGTAGGGTAGGGGTAGCGCGTCTGGTCATACGGTAGACAACTCTCTTGCATGCAGCCTTCCTCCACAAGGCGTTTAGACTGGCATGTTACCCAATGAGAGGAACCATCTGGTGCCACTTGGGCCACTTTAATCTGCTGTAGGCCGCCAGAAAAACCTTTACCTTGAGCTTTCCGTCGCCGTCGGGTCTCCTCCTTCTGTGCCATCCGTTGGACTCGAGTCTGTTGGCTGCAAGCCTTGATGTTGCCCTTCTTCACTGAAGAGAAATGTCCCTGATTGGTGTAGGACTTGACCCAATCAAACCACTTGTGTCCTCTTAGCACTGCTGACCATTGAAGGTTAACTTCAGCCAGCAATGCAATGCCCACTCTCTCATCCGTCCAACACTTGAAGAGCCCTTTCTGTTTCTCATGTGTCATGGGAAATGGAAGACCCTGAACATTTTG